TCGCATCAATAAAATTTCATCTGTGTAGAGTTTTATACTATATTATCGTTTACTGAAGCTTTTGTATTTCAAAAAATAATAATTTACAAAACCAATATATACAATAATTATGGAACAAATTTTAGGATTTTCAAAAAATCAAAAACCGATCCAATCCAAACCGAAAAAATTTGGATTGGATCGGATCGGATTTGAAAAAAAATTCAAACCGAATGGATGATTAAATGATCAAACCGAAGGTATCGGATCAAATAATTTTTACTTTTAAAATCGATCCAATCCAGTCCACGAACACCCTCTTGAACTTCATCCTTTCAGCAATAATAGATAGGTTTTCAAATACTTGAGATGTATCTTTGATGTGTTTGTTGTTCTTGTAATCAAATCTTTCTGCATTATAATTATATTTTTACTCTCTGGTTGACAGTGTAAGTCATGTGAAACTAGTTTCTTGCGTAACTGTTGCTTTCTTCGTACAGTAGCAAAAACAACTTCGTACATCCGAGGAGGAGCCAAGCTAAAATTGGACCTCATTTTCGCTACAAGGTACAAGAGGAGTACATACTCTTTGCAAGAGTGGAAAAATATGGAATTGAGTGAAAATAATTATAGAAGTAATAGAATTACTTTTTCACTTATATAAAAAAAAAGAAAGAATTACTTTTTCATAAATGATGTATGAGTACTCGATATAATGAGTGTTATAAAAATTGACCTGACATAGTTGGTTGGATTGGTTGACCTATAAATTGGATTTCAGTTGGTTTAGTTTAGGTATTGGACCGATTATTTATTTGATTCGGTCTAAAATCAATAAACCAATCCTGAATTGGGTTCAACAAATGTTAAATCGACATCAGTTTTTTCAAAAAAATGATTTTGTGAAATTTTGGACAAAATGCTTGAAATATATCACCAATGAGATTTGAATCTAGATCATACGGATTATAACTTAGAAAACTTATCACTAAATTAACTTTATTTATTAGCTATAATTATTTTATATTTATATAATTATATTTTTTTACATATATTTAACTCAAGCGGTTGAATCAGCAATATAAAAAAACTCAAGTGGTCGATAACCGGTGTGTTTGATAATATTGGATAGTGGATATACATGATTTGATATTTTTTATATGGAAAAAGTGTTTGTCATTTTAAATGACATAATACTATGTCCTTTTAAGAGAGAGACATACACAGAATTTTTTTTTTATTTAAATTTTAAATTAAAAAAATCACTCACTTTCTCTCTCCCATAATTTTTATTTTTCTGTGTCTATCTCTCTTCTAAAATGACATAACTTATATCATCTTAAATGACAAACATCAAACCCTTTATATATTCTCCCTCTCTATTTTATCTCTCTTCCTTATTTTATAGTTGAAAGAATGCAAAAAATCAACAAAAATAATGTCGTTTAATATAAAATGTGATATGTTATTTAAAATGAACAAATATTTTTTTCTTCAAGAAAATATAGAAAATCTTTTAACAACCAATTAGTGTTATTACTAATCAATTTTACCGTTAGATCGATTATGTTGATCCAACGGTTATATTTATTTCCATCTTTGTATGATTATGATTCCTCATATTTAATGTTTTATATTTATTTTCACCTTTGTATGATTATGATTTTTCATATTTAATGCTTTCACATTAAATATGAGGAATCATAACCATACAAAGATGAAAATAAATATAACTGTTGGATCAACATAATCGATCTATCGGTGAAATTGATTGGTAGAAATATTGATAGTAACATTAATTGGTTGTTACAATATCCTATTCCATAACTCAATAGTAGTGATTTTGAAATAATAGTTCATTCAATTTGCTTTCTTATAGTGCTACCATGTTTTGTTGCGATTATGCCGCAACGGTTTGTTGTGATTATGTATATGAATACAACTAGGGTTTGCAGATGAAAAATCCATGACAAAACCAACAGAAATGACAATGCACTCAAATAGGGCATATTAAAGTAATACTTTTTCTGGTACTTATATTAATTGAGAAATGTTTTAACATTTGTATTACGATTATCGCAATGATGATTGTTAATTTGTTCAACCTCTAATATAGAGGGCTGATTACATGAGTTACACAATTCAAATATTAAAAACCGTTACATAATTCAAATCCTAAACTATATATACTAATTTACCCTACTATTACATAATTCAAATTCAAATACAAAAATTATCATTAATGTGATAATTGTATCAATTATCAATACTACAATAGTAACAATCATCAATACTAGCAATCATCAATATTACAATCTTAATGTTACAATCGTAACACATTAATGTTACAATCCTAACAAATTTTTTTGACATAAATATGTTCTGCTGAAAATTTTGATGGAAATGTGTTTTACTAAAAAGCTTTACAGAAATATTTTTCATCGACAAATTTTGACAAACTTTTGACAAAATTTAAATTCTCTAAAGAATTTTGATGGAAATATTTTTCGTCAAAAATTTCGATGAATATGTTTTTTTGTTAAATATTTTGACGAAATTTAGATTCTGTAAAGAATCTTGACAAAAAAAAAATTCCTCCAAAATTTTTTACAGAAATGTTTTTAGTCACAATTTTGAAGGAAATATTTTCGTCGAATATTTTTGCGAAAAATTTTGTTGAACATGTTTTCCGTAAAAAAAATTGACGTGATTGTTTTACGTCGAAACTTTTCGATGGAAATGTGTTTCGTCAAAATTTTGGATAAAAATATTTGCATCGAAAGTTTTGACAGAATTTAGATTCTTTCAACACAAGGCAGACCAAAAAAACGTGCTTGTGCAGCACAAGACAGACCAATAATAGGCTTGTGCTATATTCACGCTTCAAGGCCAAATGGCTCTTATGTGAAAAGGCATGTTGAGATATATAAAAATCATTAATGTAGTCTCACCCAACAGCTTAAGCTTTTGGGTTGAATTGGTTTTTTACGAAACTCCGACATTCTGATACTCTCTCCGACACTCCAACAAGCATCGTAGAAACTCAAAAAAAGATTCAAAAGATGCGTGGTGTTGCTTTTTTAGTTCCAACTATTAGATTCGTTGGATTATGATTATCATTTTATTGAGTTTAATATAAATATTTGGAGTATCTTATGTTTCTTTGCAAAATTGAGGGCTATTATAAGTTTAGCTTCATTTTTTTATTAAATTATTAAATATTAAATATAATATACAATACATAAAAAAATATTATTTAATAACAAAACGTGTCCTAACGTGTCGAAATCTAATATTTTTTAGAATTAGTGTCAGAGTGTCGTGTCATCGTGTCATGTTCCGTATCGGTATCGGTGCTACATAGATTTTAACCATGTTTCTGCCTGTTATTAATTCTGACCCTTTGGTTGTAATATGAAATATGTGAGATGCATATGAAAGTAAAATGTTCTCTGCGAGGAAATAGGTGTAGCTACTTTTGTTAGACCCTTTTCTTCCAAGATTTGAGAGTAGTTGAGCTACTTTCCCTGTTTGAAAGTTCTGTTCTTTTGCCTTTTTTATTGTTCCTCTGCCTACCATTTTTCAGAGACTAGACAGTAAGTAGCCCTTTCCTTTTCTCATTCTTACATTTTATAATTTAATTGAGAGGGTTAATTCTCAACTCAATCTCTAGTAGTCATAGATATATGAAATTGGAAGTAAGCTTTGGACAACAAAAGGAGAAGAACAAGTAGCTGCCGATAAGGACTTCATAGATGCCATCAATCTGTTGGAGGAACATCTAGGAGACAAGACTTATATTGGAGGAAACAAGTTTGGTTTTGTTGATGTAGCAATTGTTCCATTCTACACTTGGTTTAAAGTCTATGAAACCTTTGGCAACTTCAAGACAGAGAATGAATGCCCAAAGTTTTTTTGCTTGGGTTTAGGTGCCTACAGTCAGTCATACATTCATGTTAAAATCATCATGCACTGTTTTAACGAAGCGCTTTGTTTTTCATTATTATTATTATTATTATTATTATTTTCCTCCTCATATATTTAGCCAGTTATGTAGTCATTTGCTGGCTCAATTGAATCTTGGATGCATAATACAAGAGAAAATTGATTTCATGGCTGGCTTATATGATATTTGGGAAGCAGGAAAAGAGTTACTCTTTGAAAACCAAACACAAGAAGCAATGGTTGTGGTGGCAAAAGCCCTATAATCTTTGAAAAAGCAGAAGCTTAGGTGGAATCCAATCAGGTAGTGATACCTCCAGGCCAACAAGCAGCCTGGAACCACACTTCAATAAGTCTGAATTTGGTTTCTAATTCTCAACTCTCTATCACCTAGTCTTTGTGATATTGTTTGTAGTTCTGTATTTGGCTAACTACATTGACAAAAATGTACTTCTCTGGCGATTCAATGTTATGATTGTGATTATTTCTGTTCTTCTATCTATATCAATTATCCTTTAGTTTGAAAAAATGTCAAATTTTTTAATGAACTTCAACAATGAAACAGATATATGAGATTGCCTTGAGGTTTTGGAAAACTGAAGGAGAAGAGATGCCAAAAAAGAATTGTTGGAAGAAGAGCTGGGAGACAGGCCTTATTTTGGTGGAGACAAATTTGGCCTTGTGGATGTGGCACCTTTTCCTTTGTTCTATTGGTTTAATGCTTATAGTTTCTCTGGCAATTTCATCAATGAAGCTTAGTACCCTAATATCATTGCTTGGGCCAAGAGGTGCACTGAAAAAGTGTGTCTGTCCAAGTCTTTCCCTGAGGAGCATAGGCTCAAAACGTTCTATAGAAGAGAAAGGTCGACTCTCAGTAGATTAGAGGCTATTGTCTTATTACTTGTCAGCTCTATCTTTTGAATAATGGCATAATAAAATGGCTCTTAGGTGGTACCCTTGATTTTGCTACTTTATTTCTCTTAATGTATATTTGAAACCCGGTGCAACCTATCCTTTTATTTCGATCTAGTTGTATCTTGATGTCATATAAATCACGATATTGGTTTGAAAGTATAAGATTATATAAAACCATATTATAGGCATAACAAGAAGTATATTGGACAAGAAAGCTATGTGCACAAAGCCACAAAGGCTATGAAGTCTTCATGTTGGAAATTTACAAGTCGTGAAGCCACAACAGGAATTTGTGTGATAAAAAACACGACGCTTACAAGGCTAGAACCATGTAGTTAATTCTTGTTGTTCACAAGCCTCAGTGTCCAATGGTAATTGTTAGCACTAACCCAAACTATATGTGATCAATATGATATCATGCAAATGCACTTGTGACTCGCTTAACTGATGCAAATACGCTGTGCTTAGAAACATGCGTTTTCTATGCCCTTTAGTCCATAAATTTCTTCTTGTAATCCAAAACAGACTCATAAACCTCCTTCTCATCTGCCAGTGTTTTAGATACACTCTCCTTCTTCGTGCATCTCTGAGCCCATGAGATAAGTTTTGGACACTCTGCCTCCACTTTGAAGTTGCCAAAGGTCTCGTACGTATAAAACCAGCAATAGAAAGGGATGAGAGCAATATCAACAAACCCAAAGGTGTCACCCCCAAAATAAGGCATGTCTCCAAGAACCTCCTCCAATTGCTTTAAGCTCTCTAGGAAGCCTTTCTTTGCCACCTCTTGTTCATCTCCCTTTGAAGTCCATATTCTCCTTGAATCATGATACACCTGCGTTTGTTATCACATGAGTTGTTATTAATAACTTTCTAGGACATAGATATTGTAAAATTTTTCATTTTATCACTAAGTCCTTGAATCAACTAGGTTGTTTCAGCTTAATCAATAATTTTGAATTCAAGTCCCTAGAAATACAATTATATTAAAACTTGACACGAAGAGCTTTGCCGTCCATGTGATCCTATCCGGCTTATAAAGACTACTCAAGTTATCGATGAACCGATAGATAATATTAAAAAAAATAAAAATCCAAAAGTTTGGCAACAGAAATTGACAGTTTAACATGTACCTTGCGGTCTACAAAATCAGCCCAGAACCTGGCTTGTGCTCTTTGATAGGGATCAGTGGGAAGCAATGGAGCACTGTTCTTCCAAACCATATCAATATACTCAACAATTATGAGGGACTCACAGATGGGTCTCCCATGATGTATGAGAACTGGGATCTTCTTGTGAATTGAGTTCATTTCCAGAAGCAAAGGGCTCTTGTTGGTAAGATCTTGGTCCATGTACTCATATTCAATTCTTTTCTCTGCCAAAGCTATCATAGCTCTCATCCCAAACATACTGAACCCTGAACCCAACAAAACCACCTTGGTCTCATCCCCCATTTGACTGAGACAGCAATTGAACTCAGAAAGTGAAGTGAACAAAAGAGTATATAAAACACACTTTTGCTCTGGTCTAGTTGAAGAGAAATAATTGCTAAGGGATATTTGCGTTAATCAAGTGATGAAATATTTGAAAGAACCACACACCACACAAAGTTAAAGTTAAATAGTCACCCCGAAAAAAGTTAGACGTGTTTGGATAAACTTGAAAAATACAAGTATTTTACGATATATTTTCTTTTTTAAGGATATTTTTAAAAAACTAGCCTGTCTAACTTTTTATATGAGCACCACAATAGCTCTTCTTTTCAATTTTTTTTTTTTTTAAAATTTAACTAATTACATAAAAAAATTTAATTAAAAAGAATTAAAAAAAATAAAAAGTAATATTTGTAATGGATTTTGTTTATCAGATATGACTAGTGGCATGCAGCAAATAGACTAGTTTTAAGTTTTTTTTTTTTTTTTTTTTTTTTGAACTTTTAGAATACAATAATCCTTTACAGGGGTGGTAAAATATCATGACGCATAGGTCGAACCGTGACCGACACGTCAAAAAATGTACCGTGTGGACTTGTGGATTCGAATGATCGTATCCGAGTTTGAGTTTTGACATGAATTAGTGATGTATCGTGTTATGAGTTGATCCGACCCATATATCAACCAGATATTTTTTATAATTCATATTATAAAATTCTATTCGTATAGTGTCAATCCGTGGATATTTGGGGTTAATTTCTAGTTTTTTTGATATCTTTTATTTTTCTTAAAATATCAATTTTTTTCTTATCGTGTCGTATTGGTCAGTGACTTCCAATGGGTCATGTTCGAATTCAAATTTCAATAAAGTTCAGTATAATTGATAGATAATTGGGTCCTTCTGCATTTAAAACAAAATGCAGAAGAAACCAAACAGATTCTTAACCAAAGAAAAGCAATAAAATGAAGACAAATAAACTCATAGCATGCAATCTGATTTTGCAGGCATCCTTCTGAGGAAGTTTTGGGGAAGTGCAGGCATATCAAAGCGAAGCCTTGGAGGTCTTGACATATAAGTGACCCAAATGAACATTATATAGCGAAAAGGAATGAGATAAGTCACAATGATAGCAACCAAACAGAAAATCACAAACAAAGCTGTTGCTCTTGGATCCCTCCAACTAAGTAGGGATTGCACCCTCTCTCCTTGAGTTGCCAAGTCACCCATAACTGATATTAACCTCCCTGATATGCCTCTTAATCTATCATATCTCTTCTTCAGATTATCACCACTAACTTTAGATGGAAAGGGATCAAACTCTTCTTCAAGTTCTTCAATAGTGGCTGTATCAGCCTGAGACAATTTCATATCCATGTGGGAAGGATATCTTGGCCTTGTTCTGTAGTTCCAAATCCCAACAATGAGAAGGAATAAAAAATTTAATGGTAGAATCCATCTTGGACAGAAAATGAAAAACACTAAGATGAAGTAACTAATCATTGTAATAACTGAATTCTTCCAACCACGTATCATGTCAACTTGTTTAGCAACAAAAAATAAACCATTCAGAAGACTCATGATCCTGTAATATTGAGCTTTTCCTCTCCTTATACTCCATACATTTGCACTCACATCTAGCATATAATCCACAACCTCTTTACTAAGTGGTGGTTCAGCCCTTTTGAACCTCAATGTGGTGATTGCAGCAGCTTGGTTCCTTAAACTTTCTAGCTGAAAAATATTCAATGGGCATATATAGTGCATTCTTGGGAGCAAAGGTTGTGCGTAAGTTTGCAAAACATTCAACAAAGATGGACAAGAAAATCTCACAGCCAATTGAATTTCTCCCATCTTCTTGGCACCTTCAGCATGCAAGTTTATAAGTGGATAAGAGTGAGTGTAAATCCTATCATTTTCAAGTGTGGATAGCCGAATTCGTACCTTACCAATTCTCTTGTCCACTGCTCCTTCAGCATTTTCCCCTCCTTGTAAGTGTCCATTATCAAACACCACAATTGTAAGAACAGTGCAAGGATCAAATACTTCCCAATTATACTGCTCATTCCACTTTGGAGAAAGACTATCAACAATAGTCCTTGTCCTCACCCACTTGGAACCATACTTAGCTACACAATAAGCATCAGTGCGATTTTCCTTCTTCATTGCAGGGAGCCCCATAGCATTCAGAATGCCTAATTCCAGAAAACCAATACTGAGTTTGCACAATTCCTTAGATGCTGGCCTGAGATCACTACTGTAGTGAGTGGCCTCATCAAGAACATGATAGCCTCCATCCAAACAGATCCTCATATGAAGTCTACTAGCAAATTTAACCTCCTCTTCACCCTCACATTCCTTGGGCTTGTGAAGGTCGTACCATAAACAACTAGGTGGAGTAGCATCTATTCTCTTCTCAACATTCTTTAAAGGAATCACACAACTTCCCAAGCTTTCATGCTTGTTGGAATTCCCCTGCCCCTGCTCAATGCTCAAAAACAAGAATTCATCAAAGGGTTCTGCTACAACAAACATCAAATCCTCATTCCACATGGGGTTTGTATTAGTTCTAATGGAACGACTTCTCAAAGCCATGTTCCCTATAACAGCTTGGACAAAGATTTCTGAGTTACTACTACTCTTGTTTTTGAGCAACAAATCCTGGGCTTGAATCACATTAACTCTAAGATACCAATCTCTAGGAGAAATATATACCTTAGAACGAGTGTAAGTAATGTTTTCACCACAAGCTGCGGCAGCATCTGAATGCCAAGCATCAGGAAAAGCCTCATCTGCTTGAGTTCCAATCCAAACAGCTACCATCAACTCTCTTTGAAGAGTCATTCCTTTTTGATCCACAAGCTTGTACCATTGTGGAGCCAATGGGCTATCAGGAGGAACCCTTTTAGGAGTATCAGAAATTGTGAATATAACACGACCCATGAATTTACCAGAGTCAGCAACAACATTGTCCTTCACCACAATTTCCAAAACTGGTTCCTGAATCCTCTCCTTGGCAAAAGCAAAAACTTGGTTATTCCATTCTGGGTTTGAGGTTTTCTCCATGCACCGGGTTGTTCCCATGAAGGTTCCAACCTTCACTTCCACATAAGGGTTACAAGTATGAGTGCCTCCTCCATTTTTTGTCAAGTCTTTGGCCTTCACCACCTTCACAAACAGAAATTGCATTTGTTCAACGAGGTCAAATGTAGTGGGAAGCCCATTACCTTTGATCATTCTTCCAGCATTGATGTTTGGAGTTGTTTCCTTCAGAGTGAAATCCTCTTTTTCCTTCTTTTGGTTTGCCATTGTTTACGCTGCAAAAAGTTAACACAAAATATACAAGTCCAAGTCCAAAGTCAAATCACAGAAAAACATTGAAAAAAAATGTTGAATCAAGAAAAACTCAAGAAGAACTCAAGACTTATATTTCCCACCTTGAACTTTGAAATATGTTCCCAAAACTTCGGAAGAGAGAACTCAACTATATGAGAATGAAGGTAGAACGATTTAGTTTTGGTGAGGGAGACAAAAACACTATTGTCAGTTTTCATATATAGGAGGACATTAACTGTTTTTTTTTTTTTTTTTTTTTTAAATTATTTAAGAGACATAATCGAAAGCAATCAATGTAGTCATCATGATCAATACCGTTATTTTCGTAAGAAATGTACAATTAATTTTATTAAATTATTATGATATTTGAGGATATAACAATTTGGTTTGATTCTTTCTTTTATTATATTGTTGGTTCGAATTTTGAAAAATCGTTAAACTCGATCAGTTTTTAGTTTTAAGAGACATAACTGAAAGCAATCAATGTGGTGATCATGATTTATAACAGTATAATATGTTCCGTATCATACCGTTACTTTGGTAATAAATATACATTCATTTTTATTAAATTATTTTGATTTTTGAGGATAAGGGGTGACAATTCAAGTCAATACGACACGATACGAATACACTCAACCAATGTTATTAAAATCGGTCCGGTCATTGACCTAGTCAGTGGCGGAAGCACGTATATGCACATGTGCGCAACTACGGACATAAAATTTTCCATTTTTTTTTTTAGGTTCTTGTTTATTTTTTGATTCAATATTTATATTAAGAGTAAATACTCTTTTAAGTCCCTAACAAAAAATACAGTCCTCACTTTAATCCTTTGTAAAAAAAATTAGTCTCGAGTTCCCTGAGTAATTCAAAGAGGATCAATTTAATTAAAATCGTAGTCCCTCACAAATTCAAAAAAGATTCACATTAGTTCCTCAAAAAGACTAAAATGGGTCCACTTTGATATTCATAGTTACCAGGTGACTAATTTTTTTTTTTTATAATGGACGAAATTGGGGATCAAATTTTTTGTTAAGGACCAAAAATAATATTTATTTTTATATTAGTTAGCAACGTAGCAACGTATAGAGATGATTAAAACAACGTAGCACGCACATTGATTAGAGAGAAAACTTATTCTTCCTCCCCTATCACGTACTCATTCTTATGTTCTCTTTATCCTTTGTTTCTTTTTTCATTTTTATAAAAAAAGAAGATTGATTGCAAGTCTGACATTAGTTAATCTCTAGAGACGAGGTATATGATTTTATTTCTTGCCTTATGTATAGATAGTATTGACTTTTTTATTCACCACTATAAAATAGTAGAATGATGATGTAAGGATGTACTGGAGTGTATTCTCATAATTATTTTGGAGGATTGGTAAGATTTAGGGGGGCAAATGATTGGTTAAATTATTGTCTGAAAAAAAATAAAATTCGAAGACATGTATAATTTTTTTTTCCCGGCTGCACCACTGTTTCAAGTTATGATTCTGCTTTGGATGGAATGCCTGCTCCCCCACCTTTTTGTTGAGGAGTTTTTGTCCCTTAATTGTTTGTTAATGAAGTTCTGTTTAGCCCACAAAAGACAGAAAGAAAGTGATAGTTGTAACTTGTAAATGCTAGACTTCACTGTTTTTGGTCTAAAATGAACTCATTTTTTTTTAAATATTTGTATAGGCTGAATGGAGGCACCTTTGGTAAATGATGATACAATGGTTGACAGTGAAGCTGAAGATGTAAGAGGGGAAATGTCACCTTCTGACTCAGAATCTGAAGAAGATGTTAAATTAGCTGAACCGTCTAAGAATGCGGTATATAACAGAGATGCTCTATTAGATAAACTTGGAGACATTAGCTGGCCAGAGAATGTGCAATGGATACACAAACTCTCCGTTGATATTGATCAAGAGCAAGAAGTAGATGTCAATGATGACTTGGCGCGGGAGCTTGCGTTTTACACGCAGGCATTTGAGAAACTTCAGTCAATGGGTCTCCCTTTTCTGAAGCCTGCAGACTATTATGCAGAAATGGTGAAGACAGATAACCACATGGTAAAGGTGAAAGGTCGGCTATTAGCAGAGAAGCTGAAGATGGAAGAGGCTGAAGAGAGAAGAAAGGTCCTAAGAGATTGGAGTTGAGATATATAGTCCCACGTTGGTTGTATGTGCAACTAATGTGAGGTTTATAAGGCCTTGGACACTCCCACCCTTCGAGCTAGCTTTTGGGGTGGTGATCTCAAGGTTCTTAGCTGATGGTATCAGAGTCTCGTCGTCCCCACCTAGGCTGAGTGGAGGTTATAAGGTCTTGGGCACTCACACCCTTTGAGCTAGCTTTTGGGATAGTGTATCCTAAAGTTCTTTATAATTGGCCAAAGAGATTAAGGCCCAGAAATTGAAAGAAAGGGCTAAGCAGAAAAAGGAGGATATCGAATCTGTTAAGAAATGGAGGAAGCAGAGGCAACAAAGTGGGTTTGCTGACAGCGCCAATGATGCAGATATTGGTTTGGACTTTGAGGATGGAAAAGTATTCGAAAGGTCAAAGATGAAAAGGCCAGGAGTGTCACCAGGCGATCGGTCAGGAGGGAAGGCAAAGCAAGCCTTTGGGAAAGGAAAGAAACAGAAGAAAAGAGATGTTAAGAATTCCAAATTTGGTTTTGGAGGCAAGAAGGGATTGAAGAAGCAGAATACAGCTGACACCACTTACGATTTTAGTGGTTTCAAAAAAGGCGCTGCCGAAGGAAATAAGAAGAGAGAGGTAAAATACAATCTTCTTTGATTTGTTTTGTGAGGAAGCAATGTCATGGAATGTGCCAATGGTGGTGGTATCCTGGGAATTTTCATATAATCTCTCAGTTCTATTGACTTATGGTAACTTGATAAGCTTTATCGACCATTATCAATTCTTATATATCTACTCCAACGCTCTTTTAAATGATCTATTACTTTATGCTGTTCATCGCTAACAGGTATATGCTCTAGCTCTTTTGAGTACAAGACTGTTTAATGTAGGCATATATCTGGAGTACTCTTTTGTTAATTTATTTTATTTTTTCAATTTCTTGTACTTCTTTTATCTGAATATACTAAAATCGGTGTGCATCCATTAATGGCTGATTTCTTTCAAAGCAAGCAGCTTAGCAGTTTCTATGGCTTCTTCACTTCATATCTGGAGTTCATAAACCTTGTTGTTCTTAGCAGAATACCTTTTATTAGTAGCATACGGAGCAAACATTGTGTATATTGTATTCATGTAGAGCCTTGTAAGTCTTAGCCCGTAATAGGTAAGTTTGTATAAGACTAAGATAATGCCTAGGATTATAGCCCACAAGTAAGACCCTGATTTGTGATTCTTTGTGTACAAATGCACAAGTCTGGGAGGATTTTCTCGCAAGCCAGTGATATTTCTCCTATCTTTTTTAGAATTTGGTATCTACACACAGATGCAAGTGACAACCACACAAGTATATCTATGAAGAACTTTCTGTTGTCAAATCTATTCTCCAAATTGTGCATTACATCAAGCCTATTAATAGGCAAAACAAAAACGGAAAGTACTAATGAAAAGACTCTACTAATGAAGAGACTCATTACAAGGCTAATCAAGAGTCTCATAAACCCTCATAACATCACTAACAACTCTAAACTCATTAATGTCCATTAACACAAACCTAAAGACATGACTCTTCACCAGAAAACTCTTCACATTTCTATTTTCTATTTTCATCTCATTAAAATTTAACCCAACAAAACTCCCCCTTAAATTTTAATTCTTTTTTTTTTAATTTTCCACCAGTTGATTTTTTTTCGCGCTGTTTCCATGTTGTACCCCTTTCTTCAAATTTTTTTTTTTTGTTCGGCGGTTCCTTCATTGGTGGAAGATAGACAGTCTTGATTTTTTCTCTGTCGACCTCATCCTCCGATATATTTCCACATCCATTCTTACACGTATGATCATCACACAAGTCATCATACTGATCAGTATCTGTATCACTATAACGTCTCATTAGTTTTACAACACCTATGCCAATTTTAATACTTTCAGATTCAACATGTGCTACATTAATAGCACGTTGGGCCTCATCAACCACAATAACCCCATCACTCATTGAGGACCATTGATTCCCATCATCAAGCAAATAACTCAACGCATCATTTTCTGATTCCGCCCCACGATATTCTTTTGGTTTACACTTGAGCCAAAATGATTCCGCCATAAAAGTAACTCTAGGCTCCTCATTGCCGGGTTCCCTATCCACAATCACACCTAAATAACTCAACGCATCATTTTCTGATTCCTCCCCACGATCTTCTTTTGGTTTACGCTTGAGCCAAAATGATTCCGCCATAAAAGTAACTCTAGGCTCCTAATCGCCGGGTTCTCTATCCACAATCACACCTTCCATTTTTCCGCTCTCAGTTTCTTCATCGCCGGGTTCTTCTTCAACAAGTCCAGCTTCCACGCGCCTCATCGATAGAATCTCAGACCACCGTCCTCCAGGGAAATGGTCTCTTTTCACTGGTGTCGACATCTTCCACTTCCACCATAAATTCAATGCAGTCTCCGACTTCTGACTTCCAACCCGAACCGCGCCTATGTCGGTCTCCGACATCAACCTCATCACGCAGGGGTCGAGCTCTTCTCCAAAACATGAACTCGGTGATTTAGCTGGGATCTCCCCCATCCCGGTTATCAACACGGAACTCAGATTCGCGGTCTCCTCCAAGTCGGTCTCCATCAAGCACCTCGGCTTCTCAATCTCCTTTCCGATTTTCGACTCTGTCTCCAGACACTCAGGTTCCACGAAGTCTTCTACCTCGACAATGGACTCGTCGTTCCCGTCCTTCTCCGCTTCGATCTCGACTCTCTCGTTCTCCTCATATTCCATCTCGGCTCCTTCGTTCTCCTCCTCTTCTATCTCGGCTCCCTTGGTCGCAGTCATCTCCATCGTCTTCTTCTCCGAGTCGTCTCTTACGCGCTCCGACACGTCAATCTCCTTCGCGGATGCGTTGCCGTTGGCAACCTCGGATTCCGCCATCTCGGTCTCTTCTTCATCCGCATCATTCTCCTCATCTTCATCATCATCATTGAAGATTTCATCTTCTTCATTAATCAGATCAAAACGTCCAGGCAAGTATTTTGTTATGAAGGCCATTAGAAAATCCTTCCACATATTATTAAAGTCGCGGTAGTTCCATGTTCGGAACCATTTGATTGCGCTTCCTCTGAATCTACTCAAAGCTTCATGCCATTTGTCCTCTTCAAATTTTTTTTTCTCTCCGAAAATATTCTTTCAGACGGAGTAAGAAGACCAATGCTTCATCTTTATCTCCATAAAAGAGTGGCACTTCCATCTCGTTCTTTTCCTCCATAGCCCAAGCTCTGATACCAATTTGTTAGAATTTGGTATCTACACACAGATGCAAGTGACAACCACACAAGTATGTCTATGAAGAACTTTCTGTTGTTGTCAAATCTATTCTCCAAATTGTGCATTACATCAAGCCTATTAATAGGCAAAACAAAAAACGGAAAGTACTAATGAAAAGACTCTACTAATGAAGAGACTCATTACAAGGCTAATCAAGAGTCTCATAAACCCTCATAACATCACTAACAACTCTAAACTCATTAATGTCCACTAACACAAACCTAAAGACATGACTCTTCACCAGAAAACTCTTCACATTTCTATTTTCTATTTTCTATTTTTATCTCATTAAAATTTAACCCAACAATCTTTTGAAGTTCTAAAAGGTTTTTTTTACATTTTTAAAGAATCATAGATTCAGAATTAATGTTCCTCACTGAAATAATTGGTTATACTTGCCCCGTTGTCCAGATATGTAATGTAACCCAATTGTATAACACATGCCAAGAAGGACCAGAGTACAGAAAATGGGAAAACAAACTTTTGACGGACATGGTTGCTGCATTTGTCACATGGGCAGACATGTAACATTTAACAAAATAGTTCAATAGTCAGTGAGAAAGGGGAGAAAAAATGAAGAGCCGTATTCAGTATAATTTATTTTGTTTAGAATTTGTATATGCCATCTAAGTGAAAAACTCTTTTTTAACAATTCAACTGCGAATAATATTTAGCAGCTAGATTAGGAGTAAAGTCAGTAATCCACAAGAGGACTCAGTCCAACGTTGAAGATGAATAGCCATGTACTTTGAATATTCTTGTAGTTCAAGAAAAAGTACTAGTTTGCCTTTTATTTTCTAATTTTCTACACAAAGAAATAGCTATAGAAGACCAAAAAGAATCATGACATATACATAATAGTAAAATCACCTGGCTGTCCTCTAATCAGGACATAAACCTAGGGTGAAAAAGAGCAACAGAAACCTTAAGTTAGCTTAAATTTTAAGAAAACTTGGTTTCCCTCATTCTCTCTTTTAGCCTAGAAAGCATGCATGGTAAACATTTAAACCTTGTTCTCGGGGTTTCTCTCCTTGACCCGTTATTGTACCCCCAGTTCCTATCCCTGCAACCAAAGCATCAACTTTCACTCCCCAGTCTCTCCAAATCTCAGGGCCAGTGGTCTCATAAGGATGACCATTGTCAATGACAAAATAATAGGCTCAATTATGAAAATATGAATATAAAAGATACCTTTGGATTTGCAGAATTATCAATCTAACTCCCTGGAATCTTGGTAATTATCTCCTCGGCCTTCTGAAGCACCCCATTGGTTCCTTTGGCAGGGTCTGTCAGATACACATCAGCTCCAAGAACAATTTTTCTCTTAAGACTCACAGAAGCTGGCATAGCCACTATAACTTTATAGCCCTTCAATGCTGCTATGAATGCCAATCCAATTCCGGTGTTGCCACTTGTAGCCTCAACAACAACACTCTCCTCATCCATTATTCAAAAAGATTAAACTTGTTTAGATCATACATTCAACAATATGGAATACATAATAAGTGCCTGAAGAGCGTGCTCAACTTCAATATTTATGAGCAACTAATAATGGCAAATCCGAACAAGCATGCACATTGGCTATGATGTAATGAAATGGAATTTGAATAAGATTTGTTGAAATAAAATGTGTAAACTTTAAATGACTAACCTTTCCAGGTGTAATGAGGCCTTATGCTAAATGCTAACCTGGGTACAAAGAAGAAGATTATCATTACAAATTCTCAAGACAGCTCTAGTTTGTTAAATAAAGGAATTTCATGCTTATCTTTGATACTGGAGCAGGGTTGCAAGGAGTCTAGCTTAGCAGCTATGCGCATCCACAATGTTGTTCAGGTATGCCATTGGGGTATTGCCTATTAACTGCATAAGAAAAAGGGAAGATAACTGTTAATTTTTGTTAAAGAGACAAAAATTACTGCAAGCATGGTAGAATAGCTAAAATGCTGAAGGTAGAAATAGGATTAAAAAAGTGACTGGCAAAATATATTACCTCAATGGCGTCTTTCTTGATTGCACACTGTTGCTCAATGCTACTTACTCTTGAAGGAACTCTAGATAAGAAAATAATTGAACATTTAAGTAGGTGCAGAATAAGAATGACTAGCACTGCCGGATTGGTTCCTTATACAGTTTATAAACAAAATCTTTCATAAAACAAAGGTTTGGTTGTTGGATTCCTCTTGGATTTAAAAGTAAAGTACTTTTAGTTTCATAATCAAGGTCCACCAATTCCTCTCATAATCGTTATAAAACCATAGGAGAATAAGTTATTCAAAACAAAAATATAGAGGTTTTTTTTAACTTTTCCCTTTAATTAAACATATTTATAATTATGTATACTAATTAAGTAAATAAAATAATTGAAAATATAATTATATACTAATATATGTAAATTTATTAAGATGACACTAATTAAAAATTAGAAGTTGATGTTAATTATAGAATATATATCAATTTAGTCTCATTTTTAAATAGAGGTGGCAAAGTGGGCGGCTCGCCCTGCCCCACCCCACTCCGTCCCGCCATCAACCCGTCAAAAAATCAGTCAGCTCGCCTTACCCCGTTTTCGAAAGTGGGCTGAAAAATTCAGCCCGTCCCGCCTCGTTTGGCGGGTTGGCCCGTTAGTCCAAGCCTATTTTACACTGACCCACCTCGGTCTGTTTATGTCCGCCATCAACCCGTCAAAAAATGAGCCCGCCCCACTTCATTTAGCGGGCGGGGCGGGTTGGCCCGCAGAGCCGAGCCCGTTTTGCTGCCTCTATTTTTAAACCTCCTATAAAGGATATATAACAAGAAGATATTTTCATTTGAGACAAAACCAAAACCACATCCTGGACTCAAATGGTCAAAGTTTGGAAGTATATAAGAATATTTGCTATTATATCCAAGCATCAATGTTTAGAGCAAAATTATAATTCTCTTAAGTAGTATCTTCACACAATTGCCATATTGGATCCTTAATTTGTTTGTTTGCCTCAAGAAATCCTTTCATTTCGAAATAAGTACTTTACTCAAAGGTCACAAGTCACAACCTGATCATAGACCTTCTCATTAAAAACACTTTTGGAGATTATATGTTAAAATCTTTAACACATTGCATTGGTCATGGTTTCTGTTTGTAATTGTAGGGTTAAGCATTTGAAGACTTCTGCATTGTGGCATCAACGGTAATGTTAATTTTCTGTATTCTGTGGTGCCTCATTAGCAATTTTGACTACAAAAACTGTCTTTCCCCATAAACCAAAACTTTGACACACCCACCAAATTAACCAACGCATAAATTCCTTAAGCATGCTTAATCTTACACACGTTTTATATTTGGACAACATCAAACATCTAACATAAACTTTTTATTAATCATGAGTGCACAACTTTAACCAAACATAACAATATTCATCCCTCATCAGCTCCAAATATTGTAGACACAGTCAAGTATCTTGCAAACCGGCCATAAGTAACCCAAACCTAGCAAACATAAGATAAAATTACACAAGACCTTCAATATTGCAAATGTTTAATGGTTTGTTTCAAACAGTCCCTTTATTCCACTCCGAGTGCTTTCTGCATGGCCAAAACATGATTATACACCCTCTTTTCATCAGGAAGAGTTTTTGACACAGTCTCTCTCTGCATGCATCTCTTGACCCAAGCCATCAGATTAGGACACTCTGCTTCCATTTTGAAGTTGCCAAACGTCTCAAAAGTATAAAACCAACTATAGAAAGGGATCAGACCAAGATCAAGAAACCCAAAAGTGTCACCCCCATAAAAAGGTTTGTCACCAAGTGTCTCCTCAAGTAGCTTAAAGATTGAGATCAATTCCTTCTTCCATGCCTCATGCTCTTCCCCTTTTGAAAGCCACATTTTCCTCCAAGTGTCATATATCTGCATTGAAGATTATTGGTATTAAAATCAGAGATTAGCGTACAGAAAATCAAAACCTAATACTCTTCCCACCAAATTATAAAAATTACCAAAAATCAATGATATATTCCATTAACACTGTTTTTTTCTTTTAGATAGGTAAATATTAACAAGGATGAAGTGCACATATTTTAATCCAAAACTTGAGAATGTGTAATAGCAGAGATAAGATTACAGAGCTTCAATCTTCAAATTTTGAATTGAACCCACCAAATTTGTGTTGGGCCATTCACCAATGTCATAGTGTTACCTTTTTCACGAAATAGCAATTTAAGAAGGTCAATGATGAAGCATCTTTTACCATTCTTGGAGAATACTTTCTATAGGAATTGATATGCATAATTAAAATATTATATTTTTTTATTATTAATATCTATTGTATTAATTTTTTCTTTGTGTTAAATAAGAGGGCTATGATAGATGAGAACTAGTGAGAGGATGTATGCTGAAGTTTTGAGTATAGAAATAAACCTAACTGTTGTTATTATTGGGATAAAAAACAAATACACACAAACCCTAAGCAACCACATTTATTCATGGATTCAAGTCCAAATTACTAAATAAAATAAAATAAGATAAGGTCCACAATAATACCAGACCATTAGCTTTCTTCGCATCGTGCAAACAAGAATTGTTATTTGAATACGAAGTATTAGCTATATCCGTTTTGAAATTTCTCTTACTAAACTTTTATCTTTCCCCCAGAGATATCTTGATTTTGGGTGAAACATACTAAATTTTGATCTTTCCCCAGGGATATCTTGATTTTGGGTGAAACATGTCAATTGTGAACATATGATCTTATTTATCTTTTGTGTTATCATATCTATATTACTTTTAATGCAAGAATTAATCAAGTGATTTTTTCACGAATAGGAATAAAAGTTCTGATGAAAATTTTTTGGAAATCACATCACTAACAAACAAAAGCAGTTACCTTTTTGTCAATGTAATCAACCCAGAATCTGGCATGAGCTCTCTGGAAAGGGTCAGAGGGCATGATTGGAGCTTTGTGATTCCAAACCTCATCTATGTACTGAACAATAATAGCAGATTCACATATGGGTTTTCCATTATGAATGAGAACTGGTACTTTCTTGTGAATTGGGTTCATCTGAGAAAGAAAAGGGCTCTTTCCAATTAGAAGATTCTCTTCCTTGTACTCATACTTAACACCCTTTTCAGCCAATGCAATCCTAACCCTCATCCCAAACATGCTGGCCCATGTATCCAACAAAACAACCTCGTCACCCATTGTTGTTGCAGAGGATCACCAAAGTCAAAGTTAAGTTATGAACAAGACAGAACTGAACTCAAGATGCTCCAAGGTAACAGTCCAGTTGGTAGAGACAACCTTTTAAGGTTCTCATGTCTCACATCACACCACTTTGAAAAATGTCACTAATTCATTGGTACATCGATCAATCGTCAGCAATTAAAATTGTCTTTTTTTCTTTAATATTGTTGATGATAAGTCAATCATGGGAAATATCTATTGTGCAGCAGTTGCACAATACACTTCATGTGACTAACCAATCAAAATAGACTAAGAAGCTGTGTTGTTGGTACGGAAAAAGAAAAAAAATATTTTTTAATTCACTTGTCATTTTCTTAAATGCAGATGTATACATGATTGCCGTGTAGAAGATGATCTCCAGCGCATAGGCTGATAATCAACCTTCTTTATATTACGTCATTGTGAAGATATTTTTTGCAAATCTTATTTATCCATTTTATATAATAATTTTAAATTCCTATTTTTGTGAAATAAACGTTCTCTTTTATTTTTATGGAAGAATATTTTCTCTTGTTGCAAGAAAAATCTATTCCCCTATTGCAAATGGGTGATGACGGGCCTACGGTTTAGATTATATTAGGTTAAACTTGACTTATTATAAATAGTCAAATATAAGGTCTAGACTTTTAAAAAAATCTATTTAGAAAGAAAGTTATTGACTTTTTTATATATGTCGAGCCCATAAACCTATAGGTCGGCCTATATCATATTATTTATATTAAATAAAATTATTATTTTAATTATTGAATGTTTAATAGACTTAAACAAACTAATAGGTTTAGGTCAATTCTTTTATTTTTAAAATACAGATCATGCCAAACTTGTAATCTGGTCCTACATTAGCCAATCATAAGAGCTTTTACACAGGCTTGGCCTATTTTAGTCAAAGTCTAATCTAGTCTAACCTTTTTATACCCCTAAATGTCATCACTTCTTGTGCAACAAAAGAAGTGTAAAACCCTATTTTTATTTGAGAAAAATATTTACCTTTTTAAAGGATAGTTACTTTAGTTAAAACTGTCATTTTTTATTTAATATTTAAATTATAAAAAAACTGTCACTTTCTCAGTTGTAATTTTTGTTTCTCATAATTTTATTTTCTTTAAAAAAACAAACACTAATCCCATTTTATTTTGTGTTAAGTTTTTTTACTTTTATTTTGAGTCCCCCCAGTGGCGGAGCAACGTTGTAGCCAGCAGTTTCCTTGGTATTGGCTTATTTAGCCACGTTCATTTAACTACACTTGAAACGTAGCAAATCCTGTTTAAATTTTTTTGAAAATTAGCTATGTTTTGTTCGTAGCCACATAACTGTAGCTATTTTGGCACTAGCTGATTTTTTTGGCACTTGCTAACATGTTGCTGGCTCCGCCACTGCCCCTCTCTCTTTATAACCCCTCAATTCCTCTCCCTAAACCTTAAACGTAATGTCAACACCCCACACCTTCCATTCAGTTCCCTTTCATTTTAGGGTAATTATAGGCTTATGCCACAGGTGATTGCTTTCTCCTGATCCCCTCACATCTACCAATATGTATTTTTATTTTGTTTTTGTTTTTTTGATTTTAAAGGTTGGCTCCACTTAAATTTGTCTCAGCTGTAGACAAATTTGTTTTACTGTCGCTGAAAAAAAGTAACACCCTTCATTTTATTAATAAACTACCGCCCCCTTAATTTCCTCTCTCAAACAAGAAGTAAGACTTCCAAACTTAGTAAGACCATCCCATTTCATTTATTAATGCTAAATTGAAATTTCTAATTTATTTTATTATGTATGTCAATTATTTTGAAAAGAATAGAACTGAAGTTGAAGTGTTGGGTATAAATATATATTATTTGTTTTAAATAATATATTTGTTTTGGATGCTGGCCTATGGGTTGGTATTTATAGGCCATTTATGGGATCATTTTCATGTTTCCCAAGGTTAAATTTTTAGACCTTTGCATGTTGGAGTTACGTATCTCACGTACAATGATGAGGACACTAGGCAAAATGGTTGGCTCTTTTTCATCGATTGAGAATATTTTCCGACCTATATATAGCCTATTCACTCATTGAATGGTATCATGCATTCATTATAATGATGAGTTGTTGCTTTGTCAAAATATAAAGTCAACGTACTCATAACACCATTCCCCTTCTCTCAGTCATCCTAGAGATATACATAGTGACTCTCACATATATAGAGCTTTGTTTCATATCATTATCTCTAAGAGTAATGTACCGTTAGAATCTATAAGCCCACTATGTTCCCTTCAGGGATAAGAGTCACTGTATGAGTCATACCTCTAGCACAGGTAGATACCAAGCTAGGAAGTATTATCCCAAGTATGAATACTAACAAGCAATAATAGGGGGTACGTGTGTGTGTGACTTAAGGATTATAGGCAAAATAACGATATATAAGATGCCCCTCCTTGTCCCAGGGGGAGGTATTTATAGGGGAATGAGATATATGCTCTGCGTGGGTTGGTGTTGGGGGTCAACCCTCCTTGGGATCTGTTAGGGGTGTAGGGGCGGACCGAGGGGGGTGCTAGGGTAGGCGACCGCCCCCCTCAAAATTTGAAGAATTTTTTTAATATAAGTATAATACAAATTTTTTTATTTTTTCTCTCTATTAATGTGAAGTAGTTTTCTCCCACCGAAAATAGTTTCTAGAGTTTCTTTATACTCTAAGGTTTATTTAAGATTACATCACAGTGTTGGGAGTATCAGTGACCACCAATAGAGCTACATGGTTTCTCTTAGTTCAAATTCTTTTAGCTACATGGCTCTTGTTTGTTGACACAGACCTGGTGATAACAATTAGCATATGAAATTAACATTAAATTATGGAGAAAGATCTGTTTACAATTTTTTTTACAAATTACACTAAGTATGACCAGTCATACACTTTTGATTAAAGTATGATGGTCAGACACAATATAGTTTGTAAGAGTTTCTAAACGAAAAGTTTGTAAATATAACATTCCCCGTAAATTATATTTAAACCTCGACTTGAAACTACCAGTTTCAACTTTTATTATGCTTAGATGTTAGCACAAATCTTCACATCCATGAATAAAAATAAGAAGTCCGAGAGCTTTATGAAAGAATGAATCTTATTCTTTCGATCCCTCTCCTTTTCTGATGATTCGTGACAAAGAAGGAAGTGAGGGGCATCAAGATTTTGGTAATTGTGCTTCTTGGCAATCTGTCTCTTCTGATTTATCTTTGGCTTTTTTTTTCTTGTTGGGCTAATAGTGAGTAAATAGAAAAAGAGGTTAAGAAATGAGAGGGGTCTGCTTTGAATTATCTATTTAGATTATAGTAATTAGTATATATTTTTTGTGTAATCTAAACCTTTGCTCTCTTCTCTTTTTCTTTGTTTTCTTTGCATAAAAAATGTTCATTTTAGGGATTGAAAATGTGTATTTTTTTTCAAATTGATAGTAAGATTTTTCCGTGACATCTTCCGCCTCTCTCTGTCTCCTTCTTTCTCTTTATAATAAGTTAAAAGAGGTATTTATGAGTTATGTTCCCTGGATTGGTATTTCGGTCTCCCACATATTGTGATTGAAGAGAGGAACAAATATTTAATTTTTTCGTATTTTGACCTCTCATATATAATGTTTGAAGAGAGAAACAAATGTTTAATTTTAGCCCCCCCACAAAAAAAATTCCTTGGTCCGCCACTGTAGGGGTGGCTGACTGGTAAGTGTCAAGGACACTATGTTTTTAATGTTAAAAATAATTCAAATAATAATTAAAATAATTAAAAATATATTATTAATTAAATAAAATATTAAAAGATAGTAAATTGCCAACAAATAGATAAAATTCTAATCTTTGTTGTTGTTTCAGGTTGTTTCAGACTAGAATAACAAATTACTAACCTGATCAGGATGAGATTGCAGTTGGCATCGGCTGAATATCAAGACAAATACGAAATTAAATAAATATAAAAATATTCGATCAAGTTCGCTTTACTTATCGCTTGAGCGAGCAAGTAAGTGAGCAGCACAATTAAGCTCGCTCCATTGCTCGCTTCAGCAAGCAAGTGAGCGAAGAGGAGAAAAGTGCTCGCTGAGCAGCTCGCTTCAGCGAGCTCCTTAGCGAGCGGGCCCAAAAATTGAAGGCCCAGTTTTTAGCCTATAAATACAAAGTGACGAAGCCTTCAACAGGGACGATTCAGAAAATGAAAGAAATGTGAACTCAAAGACGAAGGCAGAAGGCATAAGCGGAGGAGAAATTCTGGAGAGGGATTCCAGAGGAGGAGAAGGAGATTGAAGCTTCATCACTGATCATCAACCAAGTTTTTTCATGAACCCCTTTTATCTTTCAACATCTTTTTATTCTGAATTTATGAACATCCTAGGCTAAATTTATTTATGTAGTTAGGATCATGGATCCAATGTGAATCCTATTTGTGGTTTAATTTAGTTTCTTTAATACATTATTTCAGTATTTGTGTTTTAACTTGCATGAATTTCTATATCCTTGTATGAATTGATCACTCTTATAGGGATATGAGGGTTAGGGCTCGCAATAGATATATTGAGATTTTAATCCTGACTGGGGTAAAATACCAATTCTTGTATGACCTAGACATAGGTTTGCTTGAGTTGTAGACTTCATAATTCATCGCGTTTAATGCTTATTCTAAGAGGGATTACTAAGACATTAGGATTCTAATTAGAGTAAAGGGTTAAAGTCACTAAGACATTAGGATTTAACCAACTAATTTTAGAAGATGAATTGTCTGAAATACCTGAGGTAAATTATTATTGAAATTAATTTAAAATACTCTAGGAAGATCTAAGGTGAAATAATTCCTATCTGCAGCTTTTTTTTTTTGATAGCAATGACACTTGAAACGATCGGTATACTTACCGTAATCGCAACACTGACACTGTTATGATAGCAGTGATACAGCCCCTGCATCGACGATGTCAACGTATAACGCTGGGGGTTACCATTTATGGCATTTGGGGTGGTCTCCCAGGGGAGTAGAATCCCAAGATGAGACATTTTGGTGTCTCACCTAGGGGGTGCAGTCGCCTTGGGGGCAAGATGGATGAGGGGTTGGTA